TCACCTCTGGCGGGTTTGGCCTTCCAGGCCCCATCCCTTGGTGCAATCTTACCCAAAGCTGGGGATGGTCTGGTCTTGGGGTGGAAAGTCTGTGAGTCCTTGAGGGAAGACGTTAGATTTTCAGTTGCTAGATACCTCTCCACAAGCTTCTCTGCTGTTTCCGGATCTCCATGACACACCCATTTCTGCAAGGTAGTAGGAAGAGACCTCAGAAACTTGTCCATAACCACCCTTTCCACAATCTTTGGTCCAGACAGTGTATCTGGCTGCAACCATTTCTTGGTCAAATGAATAAGGTCATACATTTGGGATCGAGGTGGTTTTCCCAATCGATAACTCCAGTTGTGTACCCGATGAGCCCGGACAGCCAGGGTTACGCCCAGCCGTGCATAGTTCTTGGCTTCCTCAGGCTCAAGATCAAAATAAGCCTTTTGGGACTCGCCAGATAGTAGGGGAGCCCCTAGTCCAGCCCACTGCTCTTTAGGCCAACTTTCTTTTTCAGCTATTCTTTCAAACGTGGTCAGAAACATCTCAGGGTCCTCATCTGCAGTCATCTTTGGCAGCAGGTGACTCACACGGAAAGATGGTAAGGTAGTAGAATCACTCCCAGCCTCAGTCTGCTGCCTCTGCTGAAGCTGTTTCATGATGGCCGCAATTTGCTGTTGGTGTATCTGTTCCTACCGTTCCAACGATTCCCTATGGCAGGCCTCTGCCTGTTCCAGGGCTTGCTCCTGGACTGCAAGGCTCTGAAGCAAACTTGCATTTGTTTGCTGCTGATTTGCATTTGTTTGCTGCTGATTTGCATTTGCTTGCTGCTGATTCGCATTTGCCAAAGCAAGCTGTCTCAGTATCTCTTCCATGCTGGCCTTACTTCACCTGCCCCGCAAACCTCCACCATATGTGAGGGATTAGCCCAGTAGCGGGTTGTTCTTGACCCCCTGGATGGGTCAGAACACTGTGAAAGAGGCTCAGCACGACAGCAGGATCTTGGTGAAAAAGTTGTGCTTTATTTACAAATCTGGTGAACACACAATGCACATAGTCAAAACAGCAAAAAAAAAATACAAACAGAAAATAAAACCTTGCCACACTGGGCATCTAACTGCAAACACAGGTTTCCTATCTAGCTGTCTGAATACAGCCTATCGCTGCTCAGACACAGGGAGTTCACACAGTCTAAGATCACACAGATGATCCCTCACCACAGGATGGTTTGGTTTCTCCCCAGCCTGTCCTGCACAGCAAACTGGTTCCAGGTTGGAGCCTCCTCCCTAAGCAGCCTGGGAGTTTTATAGAGCCCAGAGCCCTTAACTCACTACACCTGAGCTCATTAAATCATCAGCGAGCCAGACAGGCTCACTACACAGCACCAAAGGAGAAACAGTCAGTGTAAAGCATGAACCTGGGACAAACATACCTCCCATCCTGGACACATCCTTTAGTTCTTCCTGACCTCCTGTCACATACCCAGGGGCGGACTGACCATTTGGAAACTCAGGCACTGCCCGAGGGCCCAGGGTCAGTAGGGGAACCCATGAGATGCCCCTGGTACCTTTTTCATAGGCTTTTTTGAGTTTGGGCAAGGACACAGGGGCCCCATGATCCCCTATTGCCCAGGGGCCCCATGAGTTGTCAGTCCGCCCCTGCACATACCCCCCACCAAAGGAGAAACAGTCAGTGTAAAGCATGAACCTGGGACAAACATACCTCCCATCCTGGAAACATCCTTTAGTTCTTCCTGACCTCCTGTCACAGTGTAGATAAAGTACTGCCAAGGTCCCCAAGTAGACCAAAAGGTCTCTTCCATGATTTGCATGGCTGCTGTAAGGTCTTCCATGTCCCTTAGTTTGTTCACTTTAGAGAACCACATAGTTTTCACTAGTGAGCATTTGTCCTTCCACCTAAGTGGAATACAGGCTTTCACCTTGTTCAGTAATTTAATAGTCAAAGTGGACTGAAAATTCTGGATGGGTCTCTTCAACAAATGCAACAGGATATTGCTATATTGTTGCATAGATCCACAGACATGAGCTGCTTGATTTTACTTGTCATTTCCTGCTAAAAGGATTTAGTTTTTGAACATTGCCAGATTATGTCAAACATGGTTCCCCTCTCTCTATTGCACAGTTTGGTTTTATCTACAGACATCCCTTATCTGCATAGGCAGTTTTTTTTTGTTTTAGGTGAACCATGCCTTTAAGCGGTGGTAACATTTTTTTCTGTGGGTTTTTTTCTAGCTAAAAGCCATTATTTCCTTTCATTTCCGAACATTTTAAAGATTTTGGAGCATTTTTTTTTTAGATTTAGAGGTCAGTGAATGTCCGTGGAACAGTTCACTGGCCCATTCTGATATTTTCTGGTATAGTTAGTAAGAGGGTTCTCTGCAAAAATGCTTAGTTAAATCTTTTGGCAGTCATTATTCTGTTTCTGGCAATATTTTTTATTCCAAATTGGTTCTAACTGAGATTTGAGCCATGCTAACATTTTCAAGTTTTGGCTTACATCTATTTTAGCTACTTCTGCATATTTTGTTAGAAAATTACTTAAAACACCCAAACAATATATATTTTCTGAAAATAGAGTCACTGTCGAATAAAATGGTGGCAGTTGTAGTTTTCTGTTGCATGATATTTGCACAACTGTTTATCAAATCGAAATATTTCAGGGAACAAAAAACACTAAAATGAAATTTAGTGCACACAAAAACAATATAGCTCCCAACATTTGGTAAAATGTAACAGAGGGGTTACATTGACTAGATACCAAATATATCAAGCCTTATAATGCACTTTCCTTTGAAATACCCCCAAATTTCCATAGGCAACGCTTTAAAAGCCTTTACAGGTTGTCATTTTAGAGTTAACTATAAATGATGGACCTAGTTATTCCACTCACTCTGATGTTCGTGGCGTTACTTCAAATGTGTGGTACAATCAGTATTTACATACACATGTGCTCCCCATGAAAGTAGTCCGCACTTCTGCCTGACAGCACTATGGTTGTCAGTTTGAATCCAAACTACAACACCACCTGCTTGGACTTTGCATGTTCTCCATGTGTTTGTGTGGGTTTCTTCTGGGTACTCTGGTTTTTTTCCCACACTCCAAAAACCTGCTGGTTGGTTAATTGACTCCTGTCTAAATTGGTCCTAGTATGTGTATGCATGATTGTGACTTAGGGACCTCAGATTGACTGCTCTTTGAGGGTTAAGGACTGATGTGAATGTAAAATGTATGTAAAGTGCTGCGTAAATTGACGGCGCTAAACAAGTACCTGAAATAATACATTTGCAGAACGGATGTTCACTAATTTGCTGCTCCATCTTTATCACATTTACCGTGGTCACTGGCTCCCCAGAGGAAGGGAATCACCTAAAACTGATGACTTGGGAGGGTAGGGGTAGTGGGGCAATAATAATGTTTTACATTTTTAATCGTTTTTATTTGTATTATCGCATCTGCTTAACATCTTTGTAATAGAAAGCCATAATAAACAGTTGCAAATTCCATTCCTGGAAGTAATGTTTACTAGCATTGCATTCTTATAATAGGCTGTTCTTTTTTCTTACCTACATACCAATGTTTTGTTTATTTGACCCAACCATAAACTTAAAACCGACAATTTAAAAGATGTATTATTAGAGGCTCTCCTAGAGAACAATGCAAGGAAAAGAATGTTTTCACTTGCTGATAAGATTTCCATTATATTTCTTTACACGGAAAGACATGTGTTATGCCTCTATAGAAGAATGATTTGTAATCATGTCAACTTGGAAAGTGTATAAGGAAAACATTGCTGAATGTAGGAAGTTGTTCACGTGAAAGCTCTTGAAGAATTTTTGGATGGCTTGACATGTTATATAAAATGTTCCAGAACGTTAACCGGTTTTTGAACCCCTCAACAAAACCTTAGCATACTGTATGCCCAGCTACACATGAACTTGCTATCAATCACATTACAGGGGGTTTCTATTTAAATGTACAGTATGTAGCACCCTCCTAGGCAGCTTGCTAGGATGATAAGAAAATTTAGTTCTTTTTGGTTCCTCTGTAATAATTGGAGCAGCTATTGATTTCTGTGGGCTATTCTAAATCTCACAAATGCTGAAGGTTTGATTGCTTTTCTGCATTCTAGAGGCTTCCAGAACATAGAGGCTTGGGAGAGTAAAATGGGCAGCTTGAATATATATTGTACTGCAGCCAATCCATGGAGAAGTGTGCTCACTATGTTGGGGCTGGGGGTGAGGCGGGGGGGCATAAATAGTCTGAGTCCTGGAGAAGCCCTGTTCTTTTCCTACTGGAGAGGTTCCCAGCCTCAGGGGCTATTGCCCCTTTGAGGCAGTTCTGCTGGAGTCTGCTGATATGCATCAGTACCACAGCTATAGCAGAGCAGGGAGGCCTATTCCGAATTGCCTTTAGAGCCAGCTAAGCAGTTTAACCAAAGGATCTGGTCTTGTGAACTGGTCCTGTGTTCAGAATTAGAGATGAGCGAAGTATTCAAAAATTCGATTCGACTGATTCGGCGAATTCGTGGAAAAATTTTGATTCGAGTCGAATATATTCGCTGTGAATTTAACTTAAAAAAGGGTGTTTCTAGGCTTCAGAGAGACTTAATATTAGTGCAGAACACTGTACCTTTAATTTAAATGCCCTTGGAGTCTGCTGGGGAAGAGAAATAATACTGTCAGTCAGTATGACATGCAGATGAGTGCCGTCGATCTTAGAACACCGCACACTTCACTCATTTTGGCAGTCACGGGGCCAAAACCAGAGCGTGGAGCCACAGTGTGGCGGTGGAGGCAGCAGCAATGGGAGGCCATACAGCCCCCTATGACAAAAATGGAAACCACCAGCAGTGTGAGGAGACCTGAAAGTGGCACATGGCAGAGTGTGGCGATAGAGACAGCAGCAATGGGAGGCCGTACAGGGACCCATGACACACTCTGGACCTGGCAGCAGCATGAGGAGGCGGTACAGGGGCCCATGACAGATTACGGGCCTAGCAGCAGCATGAGGAGTCGGTACGGGGGCCCATGGCAGATTACGGGCCTGGCAGCAGCAATGGGAGGCCGTACAGGGACCCATGACACACTCTGGACCTGGCAGCAGCATGGGGAGGCGGTACAGGGGCCCATGACAGATTACGGGCCTGGCAGCAGCATGAGGAGTCGGTACGGGGGCCCATGACACACTCTGGACCTGGCAGCAGCATGAGGAGGCGGTACAGGGGCGCATGACAGATTACGAGCCTTGGCAGCAGCAACTTGGACAGGAGGACGTTCAGCTTCTGCACCGTCGGGTGCGTGCTCGCAAACTGTTGTCTCTTGGAAACGGATTCCAAGAAAGACTGCTGACGGAATCCGTGAAGAGGAGTAGCAGGAGAAGGAGCATCTGAACGAGCGGAATATGCCAACAAGCGACAACAGGGGCCCATGACAGATTACGGGCCTGGCAGCAGCATGAGGAGTCGGTACGGGGGCCCATGGCAGATTAGGGGCCGCAGCAGCTATGGGAGGCCGTAATCTGCAGCACCCTATGACAAAAAATGGAACCCACCAGCAGTGTGAGGAGCCTGAAAGTGGCACATGGAAGTGTGGGATGGGACGCAGAATTGGGGGTAAGGA